TTGAATGGTAGTGTTTTTTTATTAGCAAATAATATAAAATAAGTTATAAATACTAGTCCTTTGTACTTTTATCCAGTCATCCTTTTATGAATGGCAGACAAGCAACAGATTTTTAAACAAATGGTCACACATCCCTTCCCCAGATTTACTGTGCTGGCTGCATCAGGCCTCTGTAGTTCCCAGTCTTTGTGCTCATTGCTCTTTCTCTTAGGAGGATGGAGACCTTACAACCAATCCTGGTATGCCTGGCTCCTTATACTATTAGGTCTCAGCTCAAATGCCACCTTCCCAGATATGGTCCCTGGTCAAGCACTACTCCAACTGTAAACTCCACCAAACACCAGCCTTCACCATTACCCTCTTTCTTCTTCAGAACACTCATCACTGGGTGAAATCACATTACTTGTTAATATATTTGGAGTGGTCTGCTGTTTACTTATCCTCTGTACATGAGCAGTGTATTGGTTACATGAGTGCTTAGGGCACACTTAATGAATGAGAGAGAGAAAAGTGTAACACTGATACATCAGTAATAAATGGCCTGGATTCACCACTGGACAGAGAGAATGTTACTCATCATCCATTGGGACAGGGATAGACAGGTATAGTCTTCTTCCTCGAAGTCAGAATTTTGACTTAACAAAGGTCACACAACTTCTATCCAAAGGAAGCCATCTCCCTTTCTGTGGGTAGCCTTTCCAGACTAAAGTTTTAAAACAGCTAACTGCTCACACCTCGACGTGACAGAAGAAAAGTCCCAGAGAAACTGGGAAGCACCATAAACAAGGACACTGCACTCCTGGCAGTCCCAGACCACAGTAGTGCTCAACTAGCTTGTTCAGTGAGGAATGGCCAGCCTATCAAGTCTTAGGTTGTAGCTACATTTATTTCAGAAATAGGGTGAGGCAGCAGTGGAGGCTTAAGCCTAAACTGCTCTCTCTGGCAAGAGTTTTTGCCTAAAATTCAAAATTCATCAACCTTGTGTCTGAGTTAATAAAATAATTAACTCTCCTCAGAGTCACCTATATCAAATTTGTATAAACTCTGCCAATGCAACATAATAGCTAATACGGTAAAGCATCCAAAGGATTCCTCAGTGTTATGGATTCAATTGTTTCTCCCCAAAATATGTGTTAGAAGCCTAGCCTCACTAAGGAGCTAAGGAGGCCTGATGCACAATGGTTAAGGACTCAGCTACAAACAGAAGGTTGGCAATTCAAACCCACCCACGAGCTCCAAAGAGAAAAGGCCTGGTGATCTGCTTGCATAAAGATTACAGCCAGACCAAAGTTGTGTGATGGTGCTATTTACAACAATGGCAAATGCTGCTGAGGCTGCTTATATACAACCCAAAGCACCATGGGATTTGATGCCTTGGCTTGGAGGTTTACGGTCATGGTTTTATGGACCATCCCAGTTAACTGACCTAATAACATGTTTAGTGCTTCTGTTCTCTTCTGTTCTCTGCAACATTTAGTGCCTGGGGTCTTAAAAGCTTGCAAGTCACCATTCAAGGTACAATAATTGGTCTCCATTCACTCTGACCACCTGAGAAGGTGGCGGGTCAGGAACAGAAAGGGGAAATAGAAGATGTGGTTAATTCTTCCATGAGTACCTGAAATAAGAAAACATGGAGGGTATCTGGCTACCATTACTGAATATTTTGATCTAAGATTATATAAAAGAATACTGATCAAAGGAGGGAGGAATACAGATCAGAATTGCAAATTCTCATGGAACCTAGCTTTTCTGGAGTAATGGAGGCTGACTGAATGAGCCTTTAAGTTAGTTTTTTTAAAAAAAACAACAACCCTTAAATCAAAAATCTCCCCTGAAGTTTTGTTAAACTAAATCCCAAACCCCCACTCCATTGCCATCGAGTCAATACCTATATAGAGTTTCCAAGGCTGTAAATCTCTATGGGAGCAGAGAGCATCATTTTACTTCCTATGTTTTTGAATCAGTGACCTTAAGCTTAACAGTCCACCACTTGCCCAACAGTACTGCCGAGGCTCCTTAACTGGTAGTGAGTGCTTGCATAAGATGTATCCATACAGAACAAATTCACAATGCAACAGCTGAAATATCAGATAGGAAATGTAGAGGGCAGGGAGTGTATGTCACTGGTGGAGGAACAACTCAGAAAAGGAGGGTAAGAATGGTTGCACAACTAAATGAATGTCACTGAACTGGCTATGGAAAAACTGCTGGACTGGTATATGAGGGGGTACCCCCCAAAAACCAGAATCACCCACCCACCCAAAGCTATGTATTTAAATTTTTTATACAAAACAACCTTATCACCTTCAAAGTACTCTCCATTACACTTAGTACATTTGTTAAATCTATAATTCCATTATTGGAAACATTTTTCAAACTCATCTGTTTGGATGGCTGACATGCTAGCACCTCCCTCGGGTTTTTTTTCTTCACCTCTCCTATGTCATCAAATCGCTGTCTTTTCATGTCCCTCTTCATTCATGGAAACAAAAAGAAGTTGCACAGAGCTAGGTCAGGTGAGTAAGGTGCATGAGGCAAGAGAGGCATGTGGTTTTTTCCGCAAAACTGGCACACTGAGATGACTACATGAGAAGGTGCATTGTTGTGGTGGCAAAACCAGTCCCTGTCTGCCACAAATCAGGCCCTTTTTTACACACACTGTTATGCAGTTTTTTTAGAACCTCTAAACAGAAAGCTTGATTAAGAGTCTGGCCTGCTAGAAGAAACTCCAAATGCACTATGAGTGGACATTTTCATCCATTTGGGAAATTGACAGACGTCCAGAACGAGGGTTTTCATCAATCAACATTTCACCTTTTTGGAAATGATAAAACCACTCATAAACTTGAGTTTTTCCCATAGTGTTGTCCTTGTAAGCTGTGTTCAACATCACAACATTTCTGTGGCTTTTTCTCCCAAGCAGGAAACAAAATTTCACAGCCCCATGCTCTTCTCTTGAATTGGCCATCACAAAAAATGAGCAAAACTGCTGTCATGAAACAATTCACTCTGATCAGAGAGAACCTTCCCAGGCAACGCCACTGGGTGCACTAACTCAGAGCAAGTTGTTTGATGCTCGCCTAGCAGGAAAAATGAGTATTACAAAAGCTCCGCTCAACAGACCTTTTTTCTGGTTTTTTGGGAGGTATCCTCTCTTATATTCTGTGTATACTCTCCACAAAAGTGCAAAAATACAATTATATATACACATACACATATGTTCCTTAATTACAGGCAAGAAATCAGACAGCTCTCCTGCAACATACCATTGAGTTGACTTGACTAGAACATACCTGCGAGTGTCATCTCACTTGCAAATATGATCTCTGTTATGTTGGTGGGGTCACAGCAGTGTAGGGTGCGTTTTATCACAGATGACTCTTGAGATATACAAGGAGCAGATTAGACAGAGAGAGAAGCACACAAGAAGCACAAACAGGGGAAAGGTGCCATGTGGGGGTCGGGATGCTCCCATTAGCAGAGAGCTGTCCCCTGAGGCAGTGTCCTGAATTAAAGTGTGGGAAAATACATTTGCTTATTAAAGTCACTCACTTATGATCACTGTTGTTGCAATAGCACTGGTTAACTAAGGCTGACGGCAGGCAGGATGGCTCAAAATGCTGAGAGATAAGTGAGAGTGAAGAATTATACTAATAATTTCCACACACACCCGCCCGTGTATAGCTGTGTGGTGGTAGAAAAATTATATCACCCTCTATTTGTTTCATAAACAGTAATAATACTCTTCATTCAAGGGTTGATTTGGGGAAGATGAATTAGTTAGTAGTTGTTATATACTCAGAGACCACTGTTTGTAATGACAAATTTAAAGAAATCATAAAAATTCAACTCACTTTGAAACCTAAGAATGATATAAAATAATGCCTATGGCTTCCATGTGTAGGACTAACAAGGTCAAACTCACTGCCATTTCCAACTCCAGGGCTGCCTTTCCAACTCATAGCAGCCCTATAGGACAGGGTGGAAGCGTCCCTGTGGGTTTGCGAGGCTGTAACTACCTAGGGACTAGAAAGCCTCCCTCTGTCCCCGTCCCCCACCCCCACCCATAGTGGCTGGTTTTGAACTACTGACCTTGCAGTTGGCAGCCACTACGCCACCAAGACTCCACAAGCAATCACAAAAAAAGATGTGACATTCACAAGATATCGTTCATTCTGACAGGGAGATGTCAAATGCTTCCATACTCTGTCAGCACTGACTTCACGTGTACAGACAAGAAACACTCCAAAACAATCACAAAATTATGGTTGTTCAAAACCGTTAATTGTCGATGGATCAGTGCCGAATCCCAGTCCTATTTAGTTACCATACAAACACAGTCCGCCCTTGGAAACATCAGTTAACTACAATGAATTTCCGCGAGCAGCGTAAACCGCTGTTTAAGACTGCAAACGTTGTAGCTGGACCACTGACACGCGAGTAAAATAGCGTAGCGACACAGCAGCAGCAGCAACGTGTGCTTTCTTGCCAAATTACTTCCTAACTTTTTCCCACTTTAAAATACTTTGATCACTTGCGTCTGTCTAAGAGCTCGCAAGGGAGACGGGCATGCACAAAGCTAAGTAGTGAGGGGTCGGAGGCTGAAATGCACTTCTGAGGACGAGGTGGGCTGCAGCCTGAATGAATGGACCCAGGGGATGGGGCAGTCCCTGCTTTCAGCCTGGCACCTTCAGCCTGCGCCTGGCACACACCTGTCCCAGGGCCAGGAGCCGGGGCACCCGGCCCGACCGCAACTGGCCAGTACTGGGCTCACAGGTGAGCGCAGGGACGGCGGCGGCGCTCACGCCTACTTCCGGCTACCGCTCCGGCGGCTGAGGTGGGGGCCGAGCCCGCGGCCCCTCAGGGGCAGGAACTGCCGAGGCGGAGGAAGAGTCCGTCCTCGTGGCGAGCCACAGGGTCCCGCTGCTCCCACCCTCCTCAGGGAAGTGCCCAGGGTGTCGTAGGGAGGGGCAGTCAGGGCGCCGGCGGCCGGTACTCACAAAACCCACTGGAGCCGGTGCTGGTGAACATGGTCCCGCCGGGCACGGAGCCCCCGCGGGGGGGAGAGGGGGAGGGGAAGCGGCAGTGGCGAGACCCGTGGAACGCGCAGGCGCACTGCCGGCGGGGCGGCGAGCCGGGCGAGCCGCGCGCTCTCGAGGGCCGCCTGACGTACAGGGCATGCGCGGCCGCCGGGGCGCGCGCGCTCCGCCCACCCCCCTCCCTTCCTGCCTGGGAGGGGCAGTGCGTCCGTGACCCAAGGGCGGCCGCCTCGCCAGGTACTTTCGACGGCTCCGTGGGGGCAGTGGAGGTACCTCGCTCCCTGTCCGCACATGCCTGCACAGCGCCGTCCGTGCAGCTCCAGTTGCAGCGGACACTGGGAATTCCTTGCGACCTCTGCTCCGAAATTCCCGGGACAGCACGCCCCTCGGGCGCCGGGCGAGGCCCACGCATGGTCAGTCTACCTGGGCCGTAGCAGCCCGAAGCTCGCTCTTGCGGGGACAGTTGGCAATTAGAACCTTGTCGAGTTTCCGGTGCCCCAACCCGAGGGGTCAGTCGGCTGACCTCGCGGCGCTGGAAGGGGAGCCCGAGCCGGATGAGCCACCCCGTCGTGGAGAAGCGCGGCGGCCAAGCTTCTCACTCCATACCTGATTCTCCACTGAAAAGCGCTGTGTGGTTGTCCTGGGGCCGGGCCCCTCCGAGTGCCCACGCAGGCTGGCCGGCACGCCGATGTAACGTTTGCCCTGGCAGTGCCTCCTAGACTTGAATCTTCTTTTTAGTGAATCTTACTTAATTTTTTTAGCTAAATTAAACTTTATTCATCGTTATTTTTCTTTGATAAGAAAATGTAAGTTTTTTTTAAAAAACTTTTAAACTAGAAAAGCAGTTATGCAGTTATTTTTTTTCTAAAGAATACATCTAGCCAATGTAGCACTATAAAGTTAAAAACGGGTTTCAAAACTACATACATTATAATTCTGTATAATGACCAGCCAAATTGGGGGTTTTCTAAATCTTGAATGAATAAAAACAATCCCTACCTTTAAAGAAGTCCCAGTAAACCAAACTAGTAACACTTCTAGAAGGCAAAATGCCTAGACTCACTGCCTTCAAGATTCCAACTCAGAGTAACCCTATAAGGATTGAACAGCCCCTGTAGGTTACTCTTGGAGGGAACAGAATGCCACATCTTTCTCCAGTAGCTGGTGGTTTCCTTAGTAGCCCTGCACAACCCATTAAGCTACCAGGGCTCTTGGCAGAGGGCAAAAGCACAGGTCATTTTTATTTTTTTCAGGTGTTTATCTGTGAAATTGTTCACAATCCTCCTGAGTTAGAGTTTGTGTTTAATTTGGGGTTCAATTGAATTATAATAAAATGGTAGTTTAAAACTTCTTTGTTTGCAGAAGCTGCTTGGCTGCAACCAAAAGAGCAAAATGATTTTCATAATAATATTAAGACCTTTTCACAAGAAAGGACACATTTGTTCTTCATGTAAAAGCAACACGATGTATTGAAGGTTCCGAAATAGTGGGAATGGAAAACAAAATGAAATCCAGCACTCCAAAATGGTGGCATTTCCACCATATTTATGGGATAAATTCAGGGACTAATGATACAGCATCCTGATTCGAAGTTGCAAAATCAGCTAAGCCAGAGAAACAGCAACACAAAAGTGGGAGGGACTGTACAAGTAAAGGACTATACAAGTAAATCTGGGCGGTTTTCGTGGGTTAGTTTAAGTACGGATGCTTTCACAAGAGATCTTAAAACATTTTCTCAGACCGCTGAGAATTTCTGATGAAGGTTTTGTGTCAAGACCCTCTGTTAAGAACATTTTTCCCCCCATATACTTAACCACAGAAAAGCATTTCCTTTCGTATGTACTTCACTCTGTCTAAGGGTTTGAGGAGCCCTGGTAGTGTAGTGATTATGTGTTGTACTGTTAGCAATGTCATTACTCTGGAGCATTTTCCTCACTCTGGATCCCGCCTCTGACTTTCATTTGACCTCTAAAGCTTGTGACTTGAGCCAGCAGCCTGCCAACTTAGATCTGTCAGCCTCTGCAGCCTGTGAACCAGCAGTCTGTTGTCTGACCTGCCAATCTTGGGTTTCTCAGCCCCTGCAGCTATTGGAGTCAGAATAAACATCTAGCCTGATGTGTTAGTCTGGGTTGACTAAAGAAACAAATCCAGAGACACTCATATATGTACCAGCAAGAGCTCTATATTAAGAAAACATCCCAGCCCAGTCCAGATCAAGTCCATAGCTCAATATTAGCCAATAAGTCTGATACTTGTCCATGAATACCTCTTCAGACTCATGCAGCACATGCAATGATGCAAAATGGAGGAAGAGCACAGGCTGGTAGGTGAAAAGTCTTGTGCATACAATGGCAGTGAAAGCATCTCAGTGCTGGCATGGGTCTCCATGTGGCTCCTCCAGCTCTCCAAGTATCTCAATGCAGGAAAGTGAAGCAAAGAGACAGGAAGTTCCCAGAATCCTCATGAGAAGGCCACGCCCTTAAGGAGGCATCATCGGGCTGTGACCTGATTGACAGGTGAGACTCCACTCACTACACTTATTTATCAGGTTGACATGAAATTATGTAACTGCCACACCTGACATTTGGCCAATGGATTTAGGGCTAGCCATTCCTACAACCATGTGAACCATTTTCTTGAGCTAACTCCCTCCCTCCCTATAGGTTTGTGTGTGTATCAATGTGCACGCATGCATGTGTGTGCATGTGCTCACGTGTATTATATCTGAAGCTCTTTGAAAATAAGAGTAACAATCGTTTAGAGATACATTTGTCTGGAGTTTTTTAAAAATGGTTTTATTTATTTAAACTAAACTTGCTGTTATTTATACCAGCTCATACCAACTCTGTAGGACATAGAACCGCTCCCTTTGTGTTTTCAAATCTGAAAATCTTTACAGGAGCAGAAAGCCTCCTCTTCTTCCCTCAGACTGGCTGGTGGGTTTGAACTGCTGACCTTGCAGTTAGTAGTGCAATGTTTAGTTCATGGCAACACCTAGGGCTCTTTATGTGTGTGTATATACATGTTCCACTGATTTTGCTTCTCTACAGAATCCAGCCTAAGACAAATAGAACCATTTAAAATACTCAAAACTTTGACATCTCTAATCCATATGATATTCTGTAGCCAAAATAATGTCATTAGTCACCGAAGTAACTGATTCTTATATTGAAAGGAAGGAAGGAAGAAGGTTTTCTTATGTCTGAAAACTTCTAGGAAAACCTTACAGTAATTATTTTGCTTTACTAAGTATTATGTATGTAATTAATTTTGGTTCCATGGAAGGCTGGTTGGACAGAAGTCTGAAAACTTCCCTAAGTTTTACATTAGATTTCTGAAAACCTTGATTCAGGTTAGCAGTATGCACATTCAAAATATCACCATCAATATATTTGTAGTAAAGGTAAATACGTATATATAAGTATATATTGCCATTCCAGCAGGCCTGGAAGTTGGAGCTGAAGCCCAGGGCCTAGGGGTTTCTACCCAGAAACTAGAGGACGTGATCAAAACAATTGCCCAGATGGTCTCAAAGAACAAAGAATTATTTTCTTGTTAATTTTGTATTTGAACTGGTTTACAGAGATCAGTTTTCCATTCAACAATTCATACACGTTTTATCTCATACATTGCAATTCCCACAATACAACCACTTATCCCATTTCCGCCCCATGTTTTCTGTTTCTATTCCTCCTTCTTTCTTCACCTTTGAACTTTGTCCTTGGCTACATGCTAACTTTTTGATCTCAAGTGGTTGATAGTTCTCAGGTTTTCTTACCTCCCGAATGTCATTATTTCCCTTATGGATCAATTGTTTGACTGAAAATTGAGCCTTGGGGGTGAGTTCATTTCCAGACCTGAAGGGCCATGGTCTCGAAAGTGCCACCAGTCTCTGTTCAATAAGCCTGGTATATCGCTATGCCTAAGATGTTTTCAGAACTTTGCCTCCTTAATAGTCCATCACATTCATGAATATATTTGTAGCAAAGGGAAATACATATCTACAAATATACAGATAATTATTTTCAAGTCTTTGGAGAGAATATAAATTGTTCAGCTGCATTTGGGACTTGCTTGGTGCCTATTATCCCTTCTTTTCCTTTCATTATTTTTTTCCCATTTGTAATGGAATGAATATAATGACTATCCCATCATTGTAGTTTGGAAAGAGGTAACTTGTAGTCTAGATTTCAGTTTCACAGGTGAATGGGTTGCCTGAATTGCACCTGAAATCTCACTCTCATTTGACCTCAGTGCTTCATAAGATGAAAAATTCTCATCTTTTTAAAAATTTTGAATTAGGCAGGAGTTTACATTTCAGGTTATCATAATTAAGGTTTATTGTGCCAATCTGGCCAATGAGCACATGGGATTAATTGAAGGGCAGAGAGCTAAATGGTTCTGCGAGCCTCGCCTGTCTGGTGTCTTGCTCTCTAATGGTTGGACCAGGGTGCAGCTGCCTTAGCCAGTTCCCTGCTTCAGCTGGCAAGGCTCACTTCCTGCGAGACATCCCTGAGGAGAAGCCACGTAGACCTACCCTGATGCAGCCCTAGGCTGGAGAAGTCACGTGGAATGGAGACCCCTGCCAGCGCTGATATGCTTACACGCTCACTGATTAGGCTTTCCTCCTATAGTCAGCGTCATTGCATGTGTTTTGTGAATTTGAGGAGGACTTTGTAGATAGATGTTGGATGCGTGCGCTAATGTCAGACTTAAGGACTTGGACTGGACTGGGTTGAGATGCTTAATGTACAATTACCCTTTATATAAAACTCTTATAAACTATGAGTGTTTATGAGTTTTGTTTCTCTAGTTTACCTAGCCTAACACAAGGTTATTATTTTTTAATTCAACAACTTAAACAATTGGTCAAACCTCCCAACAATTTCCGTTCCTTCCTTCCTTTTTATGTTCTTTTCCTTGTATGGTATTACAGAAGATGAACTTTTTAACTTATAATTGATGAAAAACTTTGGTGATGAGCAGATGGGTGAATGGATTTTGCACATGCCAGGGACATACCTTAAATTTTGGTCCAAAGGGTGGAATGATTCA